GTTTCAGGCCAATATCCACCTAAGCAGGTGCTCTGCTTTGCTGATCCCCCAAACAAGCCCTGGAGCACTCAGCCACCTCTACCAAATAGAAAGATCAAAGAACTGTCAGATTTCTTTTCTCTAGATAATCCTACATGGCATAAACATTTACCCCTCGATTGAGGGGAAAAAAAACCCTGCAAAATGGGAAGCCTGTTCCTATGTCTGTTCCTATGTTTTTAATTAGGCTATCTGACATGGAAAGAATAATAAAAAGCACTTGCTTTCCTATGCTAGAGTCTTTGAAATGACTGGAAAGTTTTAATTCTCATCATGAGCCATCTTTTAGTCAGAAAAGGGGCAAAACAAATGGCCCCAATTGCTTGAAATCAAAAGCAAAAATGCCCTGAAAGAGAATGCCCAGCCAAGCACACGGATTCAGTTTTGAAACAGCAGAATATATATATAAATGTTCATGTATATATGTACATATGTGTATGTGTGTGTATATATGTATGTAAATGTGTGTGTGTGTATAAAATTTTAGGCTCATACAATGAGTAACCTTTTAAAATTTAATTTCAGTTTGATGGTTAAAACATGCATAAATTGATGGTATGTGTCAATATTTGATAATGCAAAAACAATAATAGTCAATAATCTTTTTTTGTCATCTGCAGTTACATATTTGCAAACATTGGCGGAAAGTTAATATTCAGATGGGTTTTTTTAGTAAATGTGAAGTCATTAAATTTGAGTTGCAGGAGATGAAAAGAAGGAAATTTGGCATTAAAGATAAGTGAACCGATCTTCAAAGCACTAGAGAGTTGTCACTGTAGGGAGTCGGACTTCTGAACGGCCATCGTGGGGTAAATGCCGGTATCCTGAGCTGGCATCGTTCTCCAGGTAATTCTGATTGTAAGCCCTGGACAAGAAAGAAGCAGATGTGAGCTGTAGACAGCAAAAAATGCAGACTAAAGAGCTAAAGATCCATGGATAAATAGGAGAAGTAGGTACAAGGCAATTCAGTCCTAACATGCTAACACTAATAATGACGGCAACCAGCGTGTGAGATAAATCTGCATGCGGCGTCACCAAGCAATCTTATTCACGTCAAGGGAGAATTTCTCTTGTTAGAGAGAGAAATTCCAGTTACACCCTTTATTCTAGTAGGAATGAGCTTCTATTGACCCCTCAGAACTTAGACCTTCTGGGTGGAAACATTGAAAAGCTCAAATACATGAGAAGATTCAGGGAAAAGGTCATATATTTGGGAGGGCTAGATCACATGTGAATGATTTTGTTTGCAACATGACTGCCAATTTATTGTCCATAATGGATCCAATGCAAGAATATGCTTAATGGGGCAGCTTGTAGTAGAAAGTGTAGTTATTGAGGCACAATCAGTGTGTTTAGATGATTATGAATTTCAAAGTACTCATTTTTTTCCACACATACATACGTTTACAGCTATAATTAGACTGAAAAAAAAAACACACAGGAATGAAAAATTTATAGAAAGCCTTTTATCTTTTCCCTCATTCAATACTTCTTACTCTGGTTCATTTAACTGGGATTTCTGCAGCAGCTGTTTATGAAGCAGCAAAATGTAGATTTGTAGCTGCGGATGAGTGAGAAGTTCAGACAGTCTCGTGCCCCTTCAGCTGTGTGAAACAAATATATCTTCCTTAACAGAGAGAGCTGGGGGTGATGCACAACAGCAGCATGGGTGGGAAGCTACCCGCAGAAAACGTTAAGCTGTCATTCGATGTAGTTATCATATGTATATCATGCACAAAGATGGAAGGATGCACAAGATTTTAACTCAGGAAAAAGCCCTAAGTGCCTAGGCCTCTTTCCTGCCCCTTTACTTGCTTTTCTCTGTTTGCTTTTCCTGGAACACAAGCTCTTCCAGCTTAGTGAGTGGAAGAAATCAAGAAAAATGTGCTTAATACACCAAAATAATGTGTTTCTCACTGCGGTGCTTTTGTAGGGCTTAGGATTCATGGCAATAGTCTAGTTCTTGCGGCATGTGCCACCCAACACAAAACTCCTGCTAAAAGCTCAGGAGTAGATTTTTGTGCAGCTTATGAACCTCTTCAGTCAAGCTGGAGAACTATTACAACTGCTTCTTTCTGTCTGTCTGTCTCTTTTTAAACCATCCAAAGCATGAATGTTAGAGCATTGGTTTGGCCATCTGCATAAGTTGATGAAGAGGTGGAAGAACCTTAAAGCAAGAATTTAGATTCCTTTTCTTACAGAAATGTTCTGAAACTTGAGATGCATCCACTTTTATGCAGTGTTCTGGCTGCTCACAGCAACTAGGAGAGTCATGAAAATTAGGACTATGTCAAATTTCAGAGAAAAAAGAAGGCAGAGTCCTTCAGCCATTGAAAACCTGGAGGGAGGTGAGGGAAGAAATTCAACTGTCTTTAAGAATATCAGAGCAAGCTCTTTCTCTTGCAGAAATTGCCTTAAGACAAAAAATATAGAACTGCAGCTTTTAGGGTCTTATCTGAAATGGCAAGTGTAGGAGCCTCAGTTAACGTGCCCCAGGACGGGGGTTAAAGCAGACTCATGAATTCCATCCTGAAATACAAAGCTTTTTTTTTTTTCTAATAGGATGCCTATTAAAAATATTCCAGAGATGAACAGGGGCTCAGCATGATTTGATTTGCCACTATTCATTAAGGGGAGGCAGAGGCAAATTTATCTTGTATATAACAAATAACTGCTGTCAGGCCTCGGATAGGACGTCTGGCCTGATGCTGATTGCAGGGAATGGTTTTCTGAGAGAGAAAGTGATTTTCTTTGCATGAACATGCTCCGTGGCCTCGTGCTTTCCAAGGCCAGCAGCCAACATTAACTTGTCTTGTATCGATGATATCTCCGTGGTGGAGTTTGTCCCCCGAACGCCTGGCAGCACCTTATCACACTTCTCGGAGGGGTTTTAATCCTGTGACAAATAATGAAAATCCCCAGCTGAGATGCCCATGCCACTTCTAGGAGCAAGTATAGCTTTGTCCATAGCAGGAAGCATCCGCATGGGAGGGGAAGGCCCTCTCCTGGGGGGAGAGAGATCGTGATAGCCAAGCTTCAAGAAATGACGCCAGATAATTTGTACTCTTTTCATCAATGAAATAATTTAATCCTCAGGTATATACAATGCATGGTATGTCAGATAAACATTAGCAAATGGCAAATCTGTTAATGCCTCCACATGTCATGATGCTTTTAGGTGGTCATGGATATCTCATCAGGTTTTTCTCCCCTTTCTCCATCCTTTCTAGGGAGGTGATGGGTTTCTCCAAGCCTTCAGCTTTGGAGAGGTGATGTGTTTGGTTTGTGATGATTAATAGGATTTTGCTGCTTTTGTGATAGTATCTCTTCAGATGTTTAATTTTGATAATTATTTTGGCCTGTTGCAGGACTTTTTTGGTGTTTCTGCTCCTAGGATAGAAGAGGACATGTACCTCTTCAGTCAGGGGAACAAGGGTTTTATTTTGCTTTCCAGGGTCCAGAGGTACGCGAACAAACACCCAAGGTGCTGCAGCTACTTGTAAATTATTGCAGCTTCTGCTTTAAGCTCTTTCAAGCAGTCCAAATATTTTTAACTACTCGTTTTGTGTGGATGTGATGATATCCTTTCTGTAAATCTAAAAAGCTGTATCTATTTAAAATCATTAGTGCATGTTATTTTAATAGAGGCTATTGAAGGCATGTTCATGGCTACTTGATTCATTTTCTAAACACATACTGGTGGTTAAACTTGAAATATCTAAGACCTTTTTCAGTTAAGTACTTTGTGACAAATGAAATGTTTGAAACTGTAACTGTGTAAAACTCTAATTAGTTTAACTTATTTATTGTTGCTTTTTAAAGGAGGTCTGACCAGAAAATAAGAAATGTCTTCTTTAGTTCTCATCTAAGACTTAACCTACAACTTCTGTCCTGGCTTCATAACCATTTGTAATCTCCAGTTCTCTCTGATTAATTGATGTGATTTTGAGCAGCCCCTTTCTAGCAAGCTAATGGGCTACAGACGTGATTAGACTCCTCATTTTGTGCCACCCTGATCAAATTAGGCTCACATCTACATCCCCCATCTTCACCAGCATGCCTGGCATACTGCTATGGAAATCCTGGGTATTAATCAGGATGCAAAGCTGTACTTGTAGAGCCATCTAATTTAAGTACCAAAAAACCACTCCCAACTGCAAGGAAGAAGTTGTCGGCTACCTCTGACAAGTTCCTCTTCATGCCCTTGATAGCTGTAACCTTTAATGCCTGCTCTCATTTATAAACAAGTATGTTCATTGCTTGAGTATCTACCTATTTAATATTTAAAAGTCTCCAAACAGTTTACAAAGTTGTTCACACAGCAGCAAAATCTTTACACTTGATTCTCAACTATAGAATAACATGAGCGAAGAGTGCAGAAAGAATTATCAGCTTACTGATAATTTATTTTGCTTTTTTTCTTTTCTTCCCACCCACTGCAGATAATGGGAAGTATAGTTAAAACTGCTACATGGAAAAGCATCTTGAGTAGGGGAAATGCTTTCAGTTTGTAGGCTTTGAAATGTTTTAGTTACTTGTGGTTCTTGAAATTTATGCAATTTAATGAAAAGAACCCATTAGTTTGGTCAGCAAGGTTGAGTTGTTGATGCTTGATGCACTAATATAACAGCATCCTTGAGGCTATTGTTGAGTTTTTTTGTAATAATTTACTTGTAATAATTTTTGTAATGATTTACTGAAAATGATGTTCAGTATGCAGCTGATACCACATAAAGGCCAAGTTTTTTTCCTTGCTGTTTTTAGCCCAGCTGATCATTTGTAAGAGAGGCGACTACGACATCAGGATATTGCTATCTTACCTTTTTATTTGTGTCTTTGTTTAGCGACTTGAGGATATTATCCCTCTATAAAATAAAAGCAGTAAGACAAAATATTTAAGATGCCCCTTAATTTTTCAATAGCCCTCAGTAATAAAGCTGTATTTTTTTTTCTCCTTCCAGAACAAAAGCCTGAAAAACAAACTCCTGTCAGGAAGCAAGCTTTGCGGTATCCACGCAGAAGAGGTAAGTAGTGATCCTCTCTATTTTAAATGTAACCTACCCAGAAAGAAGCTTGCTGCAATGGCTTTCGTACAGAGGTCCTGGCATATATCATATACCATATGCTTATACGATGAGTGTTCATAAAGCTGCTGTGTCTCAACACATTCCTGTGACTGCTCTGGAAGTGACTTAGGTATTTTGGAAAATGAGCCAAAACTGCTAGTTTTGGACAAATATGCTAAAGTTGGGACGAACTTGTGAAAACCATATCTAGCTTTGTAGATGTATATCCATAAGATACATAAAGTGATTTTTTTTCTTCCATGGTCTAGAAAATGAAAAGCTTTTTTTTTTTTTTTTTTTTTCTTTTTATTTTTTTAGGATAAGGCAAAGTGCATATTTTAAATAGTTTATAGAAATGGGAATGATTTGTTATTACTGATCCTTAGAATATTTCATTATTTGAAGAAAAGGAAGAATCTGATTTTGTAAAATATAGGAAAAACATCTCCTCTTAACTGAAACACCTATCAAAGAGTTTGTGGTAGTGAACCTTTTATATATATGTGTATATATATATATATGTATATGTACATGTATATATGTGTCTACTTATATGTTCACTTAACTGTGCTCATGAGAGCAGTCAATTTAAGTCTTCAAGAGTGGCTATTACTTCAGTGAATTTGACTTACTCCCTTTTGCCACCAGTTTTTGCATATACAACTCCTGCAAAAGTTGTTTTCTCTTCTTAAAATGAACCATGAACATAACACTCAAATTTGAGTGATTTAGTTTTTAAGAAAAAAAAAAAAAGGCTGAATGTATTTTCCTCAATAAAGACACTATTTTGAAGTCACAACTTAGGAATTCATAGAGTGATTTCTAAAGATATTAGCTATATGACCTAAACGAGGATCTACAACAATTGTTTCTGAGAAATCCTCATCAGTGAGAAATAATGCATGTCTTTGTCAGCTTGTCTAAATCTCTGTTATCTTCCTATATCAACAGTGTTGTTTTCAAACATGCCACAATATTTGAATACAAATAGGTTTTCTTCTCTTTTTAATGCTAAAAATTGTCATTTCTACCCTCTTTCAAGTTTGTTTTTCCTTGCTGCGTAACATCTTGAATGTTTGGTAATTAACTTGAAGATCTCTTCCCTGATTATATCTACTTTAATATTTATAGTGTAAATGTGTATAATTCTGAGGAGAAAGTCTAGAATTATTTTGTATTTAGTGTAGCATGCCAAGTCTTGCTGTCAGGGAATTTCAGGGAACCCAAATCTGCGCTAACTAAACCGATGGCAACAGACTGCGAATGCGTTTTCCAGCTCAAGAACTTCAGACTTGATGCATCTTCCTAGCGAAAACATGGCTTTTCAGGGGCCTAGTGCCATTCGAACAATTAAAGATGTTGCAGAAGTCAACCACGAAGTTGCCAATGTTTTTCCCCAATTGTCCTTCAGGGAGACCTTTTGGAGAGTTACTTCCTCAGAAGGTCTGGCAGCAGTGCCAGAACTAAGAGGAAGGGGAAAAAGACTACTATTTACTTGGTTTAATAGTTAGCTGGCCTGGAACAGGCTCATCAATGTTATCCTAAGACATTGTACTTAGCTCTGCTGGCTAATAAATGCCTGCTTGAGGCATCCAAAAGGCCACCAAGAAAGAGCCAGGCATCTCCAGAGTGAATATTGATATAATGTAAAAATACTTGAAATTAGGTTTTAAGGAAAAATATAAAGTATTTCAAGGAAAAGTCAAGTTAATTTGGGGCCTAGGCTGCTATAAATCAACATAACCATGCCTTTTCCAATGGAGGTCCTCATGTAGATAAGCCACCTGGAAATCCTTGGATATTACAAAGCAGAACGTATGCAACCCTATGGAAATTTTTCTTTTGTAAAGCCTGAATAAAAGTCATGATAGCTTATGGCAACAGCTACAATGCGCTTAAGTATAAATAAAATAAGACTCTGTATAGTGAAGTTGTGCGTTCATGGAAAGCATTAGCAACATCTCATGTCTGAAATATATAATCCAAATGATGTTCACATAGTACTCACTTATGGTTATGTTTTGGGTGATTGCTAGTCTAAGTTTCACTAGATACCATTAACTGGTCTAGTCATGCTACCATGGAAGTGCAAGAGATTCATTTTGGCTTTTTTTTTCTGCATCTTAAGCTGATTTTAAGCTTTTTTCTTCACCCCCTTCCCCACCCCAATTATTAAAAGGACAAAGTAACATATTTTAGCTTAAAAAAAAAAGAAAAACTATTTTTTATCCTCTCTTGCAGTCAAAAAAGATCCAGGCCCAGCTGAAAGAGCTTCGTTACGGGAAAAAGGATTTGATTTTTAAGGTGAGTTTTATTTCACTATTGCCAGCTAACACTGGAGAGCTGATGTAATATTGAAGTAATCTGGAAGTGTGATAGCTACCTTTATTACTGTAGTTCTAAGGAAAAGATTGCCTTTTCACCATGCTGAATGAGTTCAAAACACCAAAGACAGATGATAACATAATGTGATTTCAGAAATATCATCTATTTCAATGGCTTTTTGTTGCAAACAGGGACAGTGCTTTTTATTAAATTGCTTTCTGGAGCAAAGAGAAGATCCAAAGCCTACAAAATTATCATGTATCTTTGTTTCTAAATAGACAGAAGTAGGGGAAAATAGATGGTTTCTGAACATCTGTACTCCTGTGCTCATATAAAGCCATGTTCTGGTTGCCTGACAGTGACCAAAATCTTTTGCACTGTTCCATAGATTCCATATAATATTTATCACCATTCTGGTTAAACAACAGAATATTTTACAGCTCTTTACATTTTTTTTTTCTCCTGCTTTGATTAGCAGTTCTCCATGGCAATTACTGTAAGCACAGAAAGTTGTATATTTCCAATAGGTGTGAGCAATAGGATGTTGGTCAGATTCCTGCATCCAGATTCCTATTAGATGCTGAAATATCTTTACTAAAAGTGAAGTTTCTAGGGGAAAAAAAAGTACAGACTGAAAGGCATCCAGACCCTGTTGAAGAGACGCTTGGGTCACCTGGCCTGAGGCTGCTAACAGAGTAGTGCTTTTGGGCCCTGCGTAAAGGCTGTAGGTACATAGTTGGCTTCAAAGCAACTAGAACTAGGGGTTCTTTTAAAATAAATTAATCTCAGTATGAGGTCCAAATTACTTTCTGGAAATGCCGAACTCTCACTACTTTCTCTTTACTATATGTCAAGTACTGGAGAGATGGGCTAGTACAGACAGTTTAAAATACACAGTGTGAGTCTGTTCAATGGAGATGTTGATTCCAGGTTTTTTTCTGGAATCTGGATTTTTTGGGGCCTCATTATAAGGCCCAAACCAAGGGAATAGGTTTAGAGATAAGAGATAGGTATTTGATACATCAAATTAAATTTTAATACTAGCCCTTATTAGCAAAACCAACAAATCTCTCTCCAAAATCAATATAGATGTTACTGAGAATTTGCACAAAGGAAAAGATGGTGTTTCCTCAACCTGCCTTGGCGTGAAGGTTTGTGTTACTTAGCTGAAGATACTTATGCTATTGCTGTCATAACTCTAGCTTGCAGCAGTCCCCAAAAGGGGTCTGAGTTATGCAAGGTCA